AGTGATTTTGATGTCCTGTTCAAAAACATTTGGCTACTCTGAGATCAAAAGGGTAGTCTCTTATGATTCTTTTGGAAGTTTTTTGTTTTACCATTCACATTTAGTTCATGATCCATTTGAGATTGTTGTTGTTTATGGTATGAAGCAGAGATTCATTTTTCTTGTATTGTTTTGAAGATTTTTGTGTCTGTGTGTATGAACTGAGTTGGCCTATATGTTCTTTTATTTTGTTCTTATATTTTATGGAAAATTATACTGTCTTATAAAAGAAGTTGACTAGTATTTCCTCTCTTTTCACAAGCAGAGAGTTGGAGATTTGGCATTGTTTTTTCCTTAAATGTTAGAAGAATTTACTGGTGAAATTCATCTGAACCTGAAGTTTGCTTTGTGGGTATTTTATTATGGATTTGATTTATTTAATAAATGGAGGTCTATTCAAAGTTTATGTTTCTTGTTTTATTTTGTGAGTTTAGGCTCTTCTAGGTAATTGTCCCATTTATCCAGATTTTCAAATTTATTGGTTCATCATACATTTTTGCTATCTATAGGATCTGTAATGGTAACCCCCTTTTCATTTCTGGTATAATAATTTATTCCCTTCACTCCTTTCATTTTGCTAGTTGTTAATTTTTTTCTTTGTTTGGAGCTGGGGGTGTAGCCCAGTCGCATGCATGAGGACGTGGGTTCAATCCCTAGTACTAGGGGGCAGGGTTTGTGTTAGTCTTAGATTCTTCTCTTGGAATTACTTTTTTTTTTCTTTTTGAGATGGACTCACTCTGTTGCCCAGGCTGATCTTCTGTGCCACAGTTGTCCTCCCTCAGCCTCTTGTGCCCCACTGCCACCAATAGCATTACTTTTTTATTGCAAATTTCTCTCCTATCTCATTGATTTTGGTTCTTAATTGAATTGCCTCTTTCCACTTTTTTGAGTATATTTGTTGTTCTTTTAGTAATTTCTTTATGTGATTCATATTCCACATTCTTAAATCCATGCATTTAATGCCACCAGTTTTAACATGCTGTATTGTCATTACTGATAGTTTGAAATATTTTCTAATCCTGTGGATTTTGGTTTTTGACCCAAAAAAGAGATATTATTATTATATGTACTGTGTTTATATATTCATAGACAATATTATGTAAGTGTATTTTAGATTTCTAGTGTCTTTCTTGTTTTCCTGTTTCTCCTTTTACAGCAGTGGCTGTGTTTGTTTGGTTTGATGTTTGGTTGGGTTTTTTTGTTTTGTTTTGTTTTGTTTTTTTGCTTGTTTTTAGTTGTTGTTGGACCTTTACTTTATTCATTTATTTTTATGTGGTGCTGAGAATTGAACCCAGTGCTAGGCAAGTACTCCGCCACTGAGCCACAGCACCAGCCTGGCTGTTCTCATTTTAAGGATGGATTATAACTTACAAATCTGATGACATATTTGTTATGTTTTGAAATTTTCTTTGATTTTCTGAATTAACTCTTTTTAGCAGGTTAAGTAGGGAACGTGAGATTAATTGTTCTGCTTATATAGATTGATGACTTCCATACTGTTGATTTCCTCCAATTGCCAGGTGATGTATGTGCACTCACATTTTAAAATTCAAGTCTGGATTGATTGTCATTGGTAGCTGATAGGAATTTCCTTAAACATTGCTAAGGTGGCCACTTGGGCAAAGCTCATTTCTGCAGGTAGTAATTGAGCACAGTGCTCGGCAAGTGGACCTCACCCAGCTGTAACATGGCTGAAGAAGTGCCCACGAGTAGACTTCCCTTAAGGTGTACATACTGGAAACCAGCTGGGAAACTGGGAACTCTGTCAATTTTAGATGCAGGGAAGGTGTCATCTGAAAGATGGTGTGCATTCAGGGATTTCTTTGCTTTTCTTAGTCAATTTTCTTTTTCCCCTATGTCCACTGGGACTTCCCAGAATTACCTAAGGCAATTCCCCCTTTCTTCTCTGACCCTGAGGGTAGCTTTCCATGGCAGACTCCCATCACTTTACATGACCTTGCTTGCCTACACCTGTGCTCTGGTAAGTGATGTATAGAGAGCAGGATAATTGTTCCTATTTGGCAGTCTTTAGACTACCATGGCCCACTGTTCACTCCCGCTTCCATGCCCAGTTCTTCCTAACTTGGCCCTGAGAGTTTGTCCTGTCCTCTAGTGGGAAAAGAACGCTCAAAATCTCTATTTAGTGGAGATTCCTTTGCTGTAGTGGCCAGAACATAGAGGCAGACCCAGGTCCCCCTTTTTTCCTAAATTCATTTTGCCTTTTTCTCCAATCCATATAGTCTCCTAAAAATTTCCTCAGCCACATTACACTACCATTTCTGTCTCTGATATTTGAAAAGCAGTTTGTTAAAATAATTTAACTTTTAAATACTATCATGAAGGACTGTATTCAGTGACTATATTCAGTCATTTTCATATAATTTCTTTCTCTTTAAGCATCACAAGTATTCCTTATCTGTTTCATGATGGAATAGAATTTTGGTTTCCATTTTCAGTGAACAGTCTCTGTCTTGTGGTAAAAATGAAAAAATTTAATTGTTTAAGGTTATAATTAATCATCCTATTAATCATCCTATCTGCTTGAAAACTGTCAAAATAAATTACTTAGAACCAGGCCCAGTGACAGATACTTAAAATCCCAGCTATTCCCCAGGCTAAAGCATGAGGATCACAAGTTTAAAAGGCCATCCTGGGCATAAGATACCATCTCAAATAATAATAATAATAATAATTATTATTATTATTATTATTATTTAAAAAAAGAGCTGGCAAACATAGCCCAGAGGTAGGGCACTTGGCTAGCATGCCAAAAGCCCTGGGTTCAGCCCCAAGTTGTAAATCAATCAATCAATCAATCAATCACTTGTCCTTGGTGAGAGCTAGTCCAAGTAGATGTAAGGGATCAAGATATTTTTTATAAGCAAATTCTTCATACTAGAGAATTGTATTTTTTTCAAGAATTTTATCCTGGAGCTGGAGTTGTGGCTCAGTGGTCGAGCACTTCCCTGGCATGTGTGAGGCCTTGGGTTCGATCCTCAGCACCGCATATAAATAAATTAATTAATTAACAGATCAATTTAAAAATAAGAATTTTATCCCAGTAGGACCTGATTTCCTTTGCTGTAGTGGCCAGAACATAGAGGCAGACCCAAGTCCACATCCTGACCCCACCACTAACTCACTCCTGGACTCTAGCAGCCCAGTGGTTGGCACAGAGAGGTACCTTGGTAAATACTGGACAAGCGAACATGTAAAATTACTTAAATGTACAGGGCTTGGTTTCCTTATCTGTAAAATAGACATAAAAACGTGCTTACCTATGAATTACAGATAATTTATGTAAAACCTCTTGGCATATTGTAGGCATTCAGTTAGTGCTAGGTATAATAAAAGTGAATTGTGTACATAATCCTTTTATTAATATCAAGCAAGTTCTATAAATAAGTAGGAGTTTGCTGGGTTCAGGGGTCTGTGAGAAGAATTACCTGTGCAGTCCAGGTGCTTCAGATAGCATTTTGTTTTGTTTTTTCAGATTGAACTCAGGGGGTGCTCTACCACTGAGCTGCATCCCCAGCCCCTTTTATATTTTATTTTGAGACAGGGTGTCACCATATTGCCCAGACTGGCCTTGAACTTGGTGACCCTCCTGCCTCAGCCTCCCACATAGCTGGGATTATAGCATGCACCAACAGATTTGCTCATTTATTCCCCTCTTCATAGAAGCACTTGTAGATTGTTCCACAGTTTTGGGCTGGATTAGGACTTCAAGGGTGCGGGCACAGTCTTACAGACCATACAAACTAGTGCGACAATTGTCCACCATCCTGACACAACTGAAGCACACTCCTAAGGAATAAAGCAAATGTGAGGCACGTCTTGAGGAGGAGAATGTAGGAGCTGGCTTAGTGTGTGGAAAGGTCATGTAGACATGCTGGTGTCCTGGGTCAGCAGGAGCCTGGTGGTGCAGTAGAGAGGAGCTCTCTGCAGGCTGTGAAAGGTGAGGTAGGTTAGGGGAAGCGAAATCCCTTTGCAGGCCACCTTGGAAATGGCATGAACTTCATTTTGCTCTTTCTCAAAGACCTAGCCAATTAGTTCCTTGAATGAATATGCTAACATTCCAGAGTGGGTCAGACCCATTAGATAAGGTACAGGTTAGCAATATTTATACTTTGAGGTGCCTCCCTTGGCCTTCTATCCAAAAATGAGAATTTGCACAAGTTAATCCAGATTTTATCAGATCACAGAGTATAAAAAAAGACCAGCTAATAGTTATAGACTTAGTTTTGTTTTTGGCAGTTTCAAATATGTTTTCTCTCCTCTGAGCAAAGGCAAGCCCCTTTGTGGTATTCCTCCTCCTTTCCCCTAAGGCTTCTCTCCTTAGTAAGAAGACCTTTCGTTCTGATTAGAAGCTTGTTGAAGGGTTGTGGAATTAATACTTAAATCTCTCCTCTTTATTTCTAAAAAGTATTAAAGAAATATGTTAACCCCACCTAATTCAAGGTTGCCCACAATAGCACACAAGTTATGAGACTGTGTATCACAAAGAAGTGCTCTCCCTGTGCTGAGGATATGTGATCTTGGTTCTGCCTTTCCACCTGCCTGTCCTCCTTCCTTGCTTGCTTGCTTCCTTCCTTCTCTCTTTCCTTCCTTCCTTTCACCCTCTTTTTCTTGCTGTTGTGAATAGACAAGCTGTTTTGTTTCTGGTGGAAAATGAGCGTGTGCACTCTTTGTTTTAGAGCCTTCATTGTTTCCTCCAGTTTCTGGAATGTCTGCAGCAGTGGTCAGTTAGCACTTAGTGGTTGGGATTAAATGCAAGGCAACGGCTTTGATTCCATTGTCCCCTGCTTTATTTATTCTAATATGTGTACACTGATTGAAATTTCACTTTTTAAAATGTCATAATTTAGGAGTTCTCTCTTATTTAATATGATCCCAAGATGTAATTCTCTAAAGAAGGGGATGGCAAATTATTTTAATGCTTTTATTGTTTTTGTTTCTAGCTTATTCTACTAAGCTCAACAAATTTCCTGTATTTAATATTAATGATGACTTGAATGATCTGTGTACCAGTGCAGTAAGCCCAAACACTACCAAAGCCACGCGGTACGCCCTGAATGTGTGGCGATATTGGTGCATGACCAACGGGCTCAAAGATCATACGGATATCACCAAGGTAAGGGACTCTTGAGTTTACTGTCTTCCAGCCAACTTCACTGAGCTTCCAAGTGTCGGCCACTGTACTAAGCATTGTGGCAAACAGAGAACAGTTGCTTTCTAATGGGGAAACTTGGAAAGAACATAAACTACAAAGAAAAATATACACAATACAGAGCAGGATTTAGTACATGTTTTATGAATTTACAGAGAAGAAATGCCTGAAAATAAATACAGATAAATTAATTTCAGCTTGGTGAGAGTATATAGAGAGAATTGGTATTTAAGCCACATTTTGAGGGAGAGGTGGATTTCAATAGGATTAAACAAGGATGGGAGTTTTGTAGGTTGAATGGTGTGAGGAAGAGAAAAATTGAGACGGATCACCTGCCTACAGCAAAGACTTCATATATGGGTATAGTAGACTATAAACGATTGTGATAGCCCTTAAGTGCCATGCTGAAGGCCTAAACACTGGAAAATCACTGAAGTTTCTTTCTTGATTTTATTTTTGGTAAGGACAGATTGTATTTGAAAGAACTGTTGTAGGGTCTAACCATCAGGGCTGCAAGCATCTTAAGAATGAGACCAAAAGGAAAACATTAAAGTCATTTGAGGAAAGAACATAATGAAATGGTATTTGAGAGAGAAATTAATTGGAAAATGATATGTAAAAAGTTATTTAACCTCTTTGTGAAATTCTTAAAATCTTTTCTCTGAAATATTTCAGGTTTGTGAATGGCAGGATAAAATCTTGGACATGTGGTGACGGAGCAAAAACTACCGTGTTTTGATTTAGACATACTGATTCTGAATCAGATGTCCAGATAGATGTGTCCAGTAAACAGCTGGAACTGTGACGTTCAAAACCTGTTGGAGATGCTCAAGCTCCAAGTATAGATTTAAAGGTCTTGCAAATAGAGTCATAATTGAAGCCCAAGGGCAGGCAAGATCTCAGAGTTTGAGTAATGTACCAGGGGAATTATCAAGAGTTGAAATAGGAAACCCAGTTTTCTTTATCTGACAGCATTGAGCACTTGGTAGTGTGAGCTACCTTTCTCTTATACCTCAGGAAGGGAACATCCTCCAGGAGAAGAGAAGAGAGAAAAAGGTGAAAGAGGAACAGTAAGCACACATGAAAGAGGGTTCTTCCTGAGTGTGCATGTTGATAACATTGTTAAGGAAGGAAGAGTGGTAGATGAACTGAAGAATCCTTGATTAAGGCGAGGACCCTGAAAGGGTTCTAAAGAGGGTCCATGTCAGTAGCATACCCTGGATCCTAGCAGAGTTAAAGGCTAATAATCTCTCAAGGGATCCATACAAAACCTATAGGTATTGGGTCTTTTTACAGATTAATTGGGGTTTTTACAGGTTTAAATATGTGCATGTTTTTAAAATTCACCAGTCATTCAGGAAATAAATGATGAATGATGATGAGTAAAAACAGCAAACAGATTGAGATACCAGAGACTTCAGTGAGTAAATTATAGTTTAACTATGTATGAAATTTTTATGCAAATAACAGAAAGCATAAAATATTCAACAACATACCAATCAAAATGATCCAGCAAATTTGAAAATAACTTGAAATTTATACTCTGGCCATGAGAAAAAAGCATCCAAAATTAACCTCCTGTTTTAACAACTAGAAAACTAGATACAATACATGAAATAATTCTTTTCAAACAGTATAGATAGCACAGGATGTGATCCTTAAAACAGAGGAAACAATTGAAAGAAGAGCCATTATCTCTGAGACTAAATTAGAGTTTGAGGAAGCTGAGGACATGAGTACACTAGCAAGAAATGTCAACTCACTGGAAAAAACTGATAAAATATAAACTGTGTAAATTTCATAATTTCTAGTATCCATTCAGATTTGACATAAACATAGGAACATCTGATCTATTCCCAGGAGAAAAGTCAACTAAGTCTTTTACTTCTAGCCAATTGTGAGGGCCAGATTTACCTTCTTGCTTTTAACAACAAAAAAACTAACAAAAATATAAAAATAAAACATGATGTTTTTCAAGGAACTTTATAGCATTTTGTATAGCAAGCACAGAATGACAGTGATCTCAGAGAGACAGGAAAGAAACAAGGTTATTCCTATGAGTGCCCCAGTTTTCTGACTTCAAAGATTAACAAGTCTGTGGTGCATGGAGGGAAATTCAAACGGAGCCCAACAGACTCACTGAGTTGAAAAAATGGAGCCGAGAGTCCAGGGAGACCAAGGTGGCTAGAGTTGTCATGACAGAACTCAAAAGTAGAGGGGTTAACAGAGAGAAAACCCAAGATATTTAAAGATGATCTCATCAAATATTTAGCTGAATACTATCAGCATGTGCATGTGAGGAGACCACTTGATACTCGCAAAGAACTATCTGAAAGGATCAGTAACAGCACCTGGCACACAGAATTGGAAGCAGTATGGTTCACCAGCCAGACTGAAAAATCCCTCAGGATGCATGGAGGAGAATACTCAGTAGGTGTGAGGATACTCAGTAGTATACATTTGTATATATGATATGAGGTAGGGATCCAACTTAAATTTTCTACATGGGATATCCCAATATCCCAGCACCATTTATTGAAATGATTATTATTTCTCCATTGAGTTATTTTGCCTTCTCCCCTTGTTGAAATCAATTGACCATAGATGGGAGAGCTTATGTCTGGATTCTTAACTCTATATGTGATGTCAGCAGCCCAGAGTCTTGATTTTTATAGCTTTGAGTATTAAGTTTTGAACTTGGGAGGGGTGAGTTCTCCATCTTTGTTCTTTTCTAAGATTGTTTTGACTAATCTTGGTCACTTTTATTTTCATATGAATTTTAGAATCAGCTTCTATTTATGCAACAAAGGCAGCTGGGATTTTGATAGGGATTATGTTAAATCTGTAGGTAATGTATTGGATTATTGCCATTTTAATAGTATTAAATCTTTTAATCCACAAACACAAGTCATCTTTTTTTTTTTATTTTTGTTTGAAGCAGTGAAGAAAAACTTAAGATCTTTCTGCGTAGCACCACTTATTTAGGAACGATACTCTCCTGCAGTCAACATGGTTACAGCAGAAGCCATCACATTAAGTATAGTGGAACACCTTCTCATGAGTTGTTGGGTTAAGAGTGGGTTGAGTAGAATCCTTTCAGATTTTTTTTTTTCCATACTGAAAATAAGAGCTGGTCTCTTTCTAAACCTGCTGGTCTCTTTCTAAAACCTGAGGAGTGTTAATGGGCTATCTTTATAGCTATATGAAGAAGGCCAGTCTTTAAGAGAAGCAGTGATGAGAGAGAGTCCTGATAAACTTGGAGTCTACTTTAATACTGATATCCCTCTTTGGCTAGGCTTGTTCAAGTTTGATATTTCTCTTGCACCAAAAGAGTCCCAATTAATATAAAGAGAGGTTATATCATTATATCATCTTTATGATAGGGAGTTCTGAATGACAATATAAACATCTGAAAGTAACTGAACTTGAGTATAATGGTCATTAGGAAAGTATTTTTAACTGATTATTGATAGTATATAAGAAAACTATTCTCTTATTTTGTATACAGTTGCCCTACTCTTTCCAATAGCTGTTGAACTGAATCTGAGTTTCCTAGACTAACAGATTATCAGAAAATAATTATATTTTGTCATTTTCCCTTCCTGTATACTACGTGTGTGTGTGTGTGTGTGTGTGTGTGTGTGTGTGTGTAAGAGAGAAGGCAGGGTTAGGTAGGTAGGTAGACATAGATATTTATTTTTCTTGTCTTACCTGGTTGCCTGGAACTTCCAGGAATGTGTTGTATAAGAACAATAATATTCAATATTCAGTATGCTTATCCTACCTCTATTCTTTTTTCTTTTTTTTTTAAATTGGGACACTTAACCAATGAGCTAAGTGTCCAGCCTTTGAACTTGCAATTTTCCTGCCTCACTTTCCTGAATTGCTGGCATTATAGTCATGCACTATTGCACCTAGCTCATCCTGCCTGTAACTTTCTGAGAAAGATTTTAATGTTTTCATTGTGGGTATGATTTTTATAGTTCTTGTCTGTAAATTACTCTTCATTATAATAAGAGGGTTTTTTCCCTTCTAATCTCAATTTATTTTTTTAAATATGAAATGGATATCACATTTGTTCAAATAAATTTTCAATATCAAGTTCATATTACCTTTCTTCATAATGTATGAATGTCGATTCTATTAAAATATTTTAACATTAAATCATCCTTACACTTTAATCATTCCCTTCTGTTTTGATGAGTATTTCCATGCTGTAGTCATTCATATATATTTCTTTCTTTCTTTTTTTTTAGTTGTTGATGGACCTTTATTTTATTCATTTATTTATGTGCAGTGCTGAGAATCGAACCCAGTGCCTCATACATGCTAGGCAAGCACTCCACCACTGAACCACAATTCCAGCCCATCCATGCTATGGTCTTGACTGTGACTTGATAATACAGTCAGTCCTTGTTATAAGATGCCATATTACCTGGAACTTGTGCATATCAGCCATTCCTCACTTTGTATGGTACCAGTGTACGCACATTATATTTGACATGTTAATATGCAAAATGAGAGTTGCAGTATTTTACTTAGGAAATTTTACATTTATATTCATATGCTTTGTTTGTTTTTGTTTTTTGTATATACTATAGATCAAATTTGAGTTAGAAACAAAATGAAGAACATATCTTTTTCATGTGCCCCAAAACTTTTTAAATTCAAAGGACTTGGGAGTAAGCTCAGTTGTAGAGTAGGAAGTAAGCACATGCAAGACTCTGGGTTCAATCACCAGCACCACAAAAATAACAATAAAATATTAAATAAAGACAAAAGAAAAGACTCCATAAAGTCATCTCTTTCGGAGTAGCATACATTTTTCAAAATCATTTCAGTCCCTTCTCTTTTTTGGAGTTATTTAGATCTTTTACCTCTGATTGAATCGTATGAATTTTGTAATCCATATTTTGCTAGAAAATTGTTTGGATTATGTAGATTTTTCAAATTAAGAAATATGTGATATTCTTTCATATTCTTTACTTTATTCATTCCATAGTCTCTTTCCTAATATTGCTTAAATGTATACTTCCTTTCTGCTTCTTTTCCCCTGTCTATGCTAGAAGTTGTTTTTTTTGTTGTTGTTGTTGTTCTTTTTAGATAAACATGGTAGTAGAATGAATTTGACATATTACACATTCTCAGAGTATGACTTCCCATTCTTGTGGTTGTACATGATGTGGCATTTTACTGATCGTGTATTCATATATGAATATAGGAAAGTTATATCCTGTTCATTCTACTGTCTTTCCTATTTCCATTCCCCTCCCTTCCCTTTATTCTCCTTTGTCTAATCCAACGAGCTTCTATTCTTCCCTCCCCTGCTTATTATGTATTAGTATCCGCATATCAGAGAGAGCGTTCGGCCTTTGGTTTTTCTGCTAGAAGTTTGGCAACTTTATAAAAATATTTTTTTCAAAGATGACATTTTTTTTTCTTTTTTTTAACCTATCCTAATTTTATCTTTCCTACTTAATTAAGTTATTTTTATTTATGTTGGCTTACTCTACTATTTTTTAATTTGGTTTACTTTTTCTAGTTCTTGGAACTAAATAATGAATTTGCTCATTGAGAATAAGGTTTTCTAAGAAAGTCATTCAAAATCATGATGTTACTGGAGTATATTTAATAATATCATACATTTTGACATGTAATATCTTTAGTTGAGTTCATTTTTTTTAAACTAAAGCCTTTTTTTTTTAAAGATTCTTTTTTTAGTTGTCAATGAACCTTTATTTTATTTATTGATACATGGTGCTGAGAATTGAACCCGGTGCCCCACACGTGCTAGGCAAGCGCTCTGCCAGTGAGCCACAACCTCAGCCCTAGTTGGGTTCATTTTTAATGCATAATTCACCTTTTATTTTCTCTTTGACCCAGACACAAGGGCTATTAGGAAAATGTTAACTCTGTACAATTTTACTCATTAAAAATTTTCTGTTTGGACTTTTTTTTTCCCTAAAGAATTTAACATTTATTTATTTATTTATTTTTTGTTTTGTTTTGTTTTTTTATGTGGTACTGAGGATCAAACCCAGTGCCTCGCCCACGTTAGGCAAGCGCTCTACCACTGAGCCACAACCCCAGCCCTTGTTTGGAGTTTTTTTGTCCCAAGGAATGTATGTTTCAGTCTGACCTGATGATAAACAAGGTTTCTTTTTTTCTTTATATAGTTCCCTCTTGAAAATAAAGCTTTCTTGCTAGCCAAGCTTTCTTCTCTCCCCACAGTACTAAAATAAGAAGCCCACTCTATCACTATAGCCATTATGATTTTCCTATCTTTTAACACTATTGATATTGAGACCCTGTGGAGTATTAAGCAAGAGATATTTCAGTTCCTATTCAGATAAATCAAGGAGTGGAAAATCAAGGAGCATTAACTTGTGACCCAAAATGGCCATGTCAGTTGTCTTCCCGACAGCACTGCATTTCTGCGCACACAGCATAACCAAGTATGTGCGTAGATATCAAGGAAGTTAATGCTGGAGTGATTTGGAGCTTTAGTTCAGGAATCCCTCAGAAAAAATGACTAAGTTTTAGTAAAGGGGAAGGAAGAAAATGATTTGCAGCAAAGAGCTAAAAGTACCTTTCAGGAATAGAAAAAGTTCCTAAAGGCCGATAATAACAATGGTTTATATGTATGTATGTACTTGCAGACATAGGTGTGTATGTGTATGTTTATTACTATTTACAAACCTTTTCATGGTCCGTTACTTTAAGCATTACTGCAGTCCTTTGTGGTGGTCTCCGTTGTTTTGCCCTATTCTGCAGATGGAAACACTGAGGTTCAAAGAGATTAGAGAGCCAGATATGGAACTCCGATCTTCTAACTTGAAATTCACTGTTCTTTCTACCATGTCATGCTTAGGGTCAGCCCTCTAGTGGCCACAGTGTGTCCTGGGCATAGTAGAGCTCCCACTGAGGATTAGAAGGGAGGAAGGGTCCGGCTGTTTGGGTGTCCTCCGTGAGTAACCTCAGTGTTTGTCTCATTTGAGATCCCTGCAGTGAAGTTGAATGAGCTGCTGGAGAACTTTTACGTCACTGTCAAGAAGAGTGATGGCTCAGACTTCCTGGCTACCTCACTCCATGCCATTCGCCGGGGCCTGGACCGCATCCTGAAGAATGCAGGTGTGGGCTTTTCCATCACCAGCAGCACCTTCAGCTCTTCTACCAAGAAGCTCAAGGAGAAGCTGTGGGTGCTGAGTAAGGCGGGGATGTCGGGTGCCCGCTCTCGAAATATTGTCTACTTCTCCCTTTCTGATGAGGAGGAGATGTGGCAGGCAGGGTGTCTGGGGGACGACAGCCCCATCACTCTCCTGTCCACTGTGGTCAAGTACAACAGCCAGTACCTGAACATGCGGACGCTGCAGGAGCATGCAGATCTGATGTACGGTGACATAGAGCTGCTCAAAGACCCACAAAACCAGCCCTACTTTGCCCGGACAGACAGTGTCAAGCGGGAGAGTCGGAGTGGATCCACTAGAGTGTGTCATGGGAAGATCTACCATGAACATTCCAGAGGACACAAGCAGTGCCCTTACTGCCTCCTCTACAAGTACATGTACATCCACCGGCCGCCCACCCAAATGGAGGCCAAGTCCCCCTTCTACCTTACTGCCAGGAAGGAAGCCACAGACATGGGCAGTGTGTGGTATGAGGAGCAGAGGATGGGACTGCGTTCTCTTCGAGGAATTGTCCCAAACTTAGCCAAGAAAGTCAAGCTGGAAAACTGTGAGAACTTCACCTTCGTCTCATTTACTCAGGTCTCCAGGAAACTTGGCTCCCACAGCTGCTGCCAGTGAGCCTGGGTCCCGGCCACTGCCCTACGCCCCCTTGTAGGTGAGAGCTCCCTCAGGTGGCCAAGCCAGAGTCAGCAGCAACCCAGAGCTCTAAGGAGGCAGCTGCTGACCCTGTGTAACTCCAGGCTTAGACTGGTCTCCATCAGTGTGGCCTGCTAGTCCTCTGACTTGGAGTTTTCTTTTGAATGAAAGTAGATAAAAATCTGAATAATTTGGATGTGTTATCCAAATGTGTGTTACCTTTGTTAAATTGTAAAACACAGTGTATAATTGCTATATATGAGAATGAGGAAATTCATATTATCTAGTGCCTTTTTAGCACAGGTTTTCTGGAAAAAAAGAGAAAAAGAAAAAAAAAGGATACTGATTAAATAGTTATTAAAAAAAAAATCCCAGTAGCCCAGTAGCTTTAGATTGTTAGGAAGACTATACACTTTGTTGAATTACACTCACAGTAAGGAATTAGAAAGAGAGAGACAGACACATTAGAGAAAAATTGCTCCTGACACTCCTTTATATTTTGTTGGTGGATAACTTGGTTGTGTAAAGCAGGCAGCCTTGCTAGAGAAAACTCTAGAGTGCCTGCCAGGGAGGCGGGGGCTGCTCTATGTGGTGAAAGGATCGATCTCTGCTGTCAAGGTAGACAATTTTATGAAAAGAAGATTAATGCACCAAAAGGGTGTTTGTAAGAACAAGGTTTTCAGTGAACTAGATGGTTCATACCTTGAGGGAATTTCTAGTAGTGAAAGAAAATGACTTAGAAAAGCCACCTGTGATCAAAATGTGAAAACCTCCTGACGCAGAAGTGCCTATGTCTTAGTTCTCAGCACTACATGAGAGTGTTTTTTTGTGTGAACATATTTAGTGTTTTTTAACCCCTTCTTCTTATCATACAGTTGTTCTGTCAGCATATAGCACTGGATTTGTAAACAACTAACAGTAACATTCAGGCCCACCTAGGAAAATTCAACAAAACAAGCTGCAAAGGAAACAAATCCCCAAATGTGTTTACTAAGAGGTTTGAGATATTTTTTATCCAAGTATGACTTTTTCAGCCACAATGTCATCATTTTAGGTTGGCACCAATGCTCGCGACACTATAATTTAAGAAACCTACAAGGTAAGCAAACCCAACAGAAAAGATGTAGTGGTAAAATCAGAGCATAATGATAGGTTATTAATGCAGTTTGAAACCATTTCACTCAGGTCCAATTCAGCCTGACTACATATTATTTAAATATCAGAAATTTCTAACAATTATTCTGAATGCAACTAGAATTGAAAAAGGAACCCAAAGAGTGCTAATTGATAATAATATTAAGTTCTAGGTATCTTTATTTGTATTCAAGTAAAGACTGCTCTAACTTTATACCTTTATGTTCCTGTGTATGCTTTCTAATTCCAAATTAAAATTCCAACACAAATTCATTTTGTAGGAGTCTTAAAATCCTATTTCTTTTTAAAGCATTATCTTAGTATTTATTTTAATTGTTTTTAAAATCATTCATTGGTCATTAAAATATGTGATACTTTACCAGAGAAGACTCAACCAATGCTGCCTTAAGGTCTAAAGTTGTTCCCTTTGTAATTAGTGCACATTTATAATTTGTTTACTAGTTTATCTTTCCTGAGATTAGTTTTGGTGTATCTTCATCTGTATATAAATAACAGGTAATAGTTAATAATCACTGTTAAAACTTGATATTACATACTGTTCTGTCATGGTTTCTTATAGTGATTTTAGAGTTTTAATTAAGAAGAAATAGACACAAAACATTAGGAATGGTTTCCTTTCATTTGCTAAACACCCAAAGGATATTTTGTTGGTGGAAAGCAAATGGTCATTTTCTTGTCAGTTTTGCATTTAAACTGAAGTTTAACCTATGTGAAATTTCGGCAGAGCCTGCAGCCCAATTAAATAAAGCCTCCATTTTTATTTCAAATAGATTCAAGAAGAAATTGCCATTAGGAATCACTGGGATCTTTTCAGATTTTAACATTTCCAAAAGTAGCAATAACTGAGCCAGCAGTTGTAATTGTCCTGTTTGTAGCTGTCTGTCAGCTCAATAACCATCTCTTCCTCAGATATGCTGTCTATCACTTATTTGATGTATTAAAAATCCCCAGAGTTCTGAAGTGAAGGATTATAATAAAAAGTCAGGAGGGCAAATCTTCAGTGACAGCTGATGGATTGAAAGGCCTGTCTCAGCATCACCTGTCTCCCTGGGGAGTGGGTGTGAGGAAGAAAGCACATCCACCTGTTGCTACCAGGTGCCACCCACTGTTCGAGGTACTTTCCCTGTTGTGTATTTGTGTGTGTGTGTGTGTGTATACACGCTTCAGATTTGCATGTGGTAAAGCCTGGCAAGCCTGCTAACTTGGCAAAGCACCTATCCATGCGTATGTCCATGCCTGTCCTCAGGGGACCTTCAGGGGCTAGGAGAGCTTATTTTAGCTGTTCAGCTGAGGCAGTTTGACTGTCTTTCCAGTTGGCTCTCTACCATTCCCCCTGAATACCTTGATTTTCTGCTCTTGACCTAGGCAGAAAGAAAGATTCCAAGAGGAGTGGGAGGTTAAGACATTTTCTCCACTTTGGGGTTTTTGTACCCTCCAGCTGGAATAAATGTCAAGAACTTGCAAGTGTGCCTAGATACAAATTGCCTCTGTCCCTGCGTGGGGAATGGAGGTACGGTAGGAGAGGACCTGTGGAGACTTAGGGAGAGCCTACACCTGTGGCACCTTCTGTGTCTGCTCCAAAAGGAGCTCTGGGTACCACATTCCCAGAATGCAGTAGGCCTTCCTGCTAGGAGCATAGATTGGTAGAGATGATAGGGTGTCACTTGATGGGTAAGATCTGATTAAACATGAAGAATTCAACACAGACATCATAAGCATGCAGTGTCACTTTTTTAGTTACAACTTTTTACAATAATTAATATTTTCCAGCTCATCTGCATTAGGCCACTTACTTCTTTCATTATGGAGATTCTTTCTTTCTTAAACTGCTAAACTTGGAAGAGGAAATCAAACCCAGTAATCTGGTCAAGTTAATGCATTTATGCCCATGAATTCTACCTCCACACAACCAAGCCCTGATACCTCACATATAAGCAAAAACAAGGAAGAACAGAGATGCCTTAAGAGGCTTTATGAAAAGTTTTTCCATTGTTTTGTGTGTTTGCAAAAAAAAAAAGGAATATTATGGAAGTAATCTAACCAAAGCTGTGGAAAAAAAAAAAAAATGGTCTCCTTGGTCATGTGGCATTGTCCAGCTTTCCTTGGATTGTATTCATTAGTCTGCCCTAACTGATAAATGGTGTTTGAAGAAATGTGAAACTCTGTTATTCTCATTTTTATTTTAATTCAGTTCTTATTGAAAGCATCAAGCATGTTCATAGACACAGTGATTAACATAATCTAAATGAAGTATTATTTATGTAGAAACTGAAGCTTCTTGATGAAGTTGAAAGATTACTGGGAGCTGCTTGACTGCTTCATTTAGGCAAATTCTGGTGTCACTGTCCTTAGCTCTGAAGTGCGATCAGTGGAATGAATCATCTCCACAGTGAACAATGTTACCCTCTAAGAAGCAGAATGTTGATTAATTTTCTCAGTTTAGGTTAATACTAGCCACATTGTTATTACTTAATAAACAGCATTTAAAAATTTATCCTTATCAAATATGCAACACTTTGTTGCTTTCATGAGATATGGATTGCTAAATAATTTTGAGCTAGTAAGCAGTTAACTTAAGGTATCAGTGAATGTAAACAGTGAAGATTTTGAAAAAGAGTTACTTCCTTTTCTCTAAATGCCCTTCAAGTTGCAGCCCATACACATTTAGAAGTTAAAAGCTCCAAATAGAATGTATTCAAAGTTTCAAAGTTGTATAAATAGTTTTTACTTTGGGGTGAATTTCTAATGCTGTGTGCTAAAATATTCAGTTATTTAGTCAGTGTTTGTAGGTAAAGATCTTCGTTGTATTTTCCCATGAAAATGAATCAATTAAAAGCTGAGGCAGGTGGATTGGTGACCTACACTCCACTCTCTTTCTGAGAGCAAGCCACGAGGAATGATGATTAAACTAACATACCTGGAAGATTCTATATCTGATGTCACCAGATTTCCCAAAACTCCCCTTTGAGGAAGGCTCCCATCCTTGGAGCAAGCTTTGCCTGGTATTATGATCATGTACTTCTAGTTTTGTTTATAGTCCAAGAATGCAAAGACATTCCCCATGTTTCATTGTTGATCAGAATCAGATTGTTAAATTAAAGCATTTTATTAATGATCTAATGCAGCAAATATGGAAACTAACCATTTCAGGAAATATGACCAAAAACTTGTTGGATAATCTGTGGGTGCATAGTAGTTCATTATTATTAATAGTGATTTGATAACCCCTCCCCCATTGAAAGGAGAACAAGCTTCTAAATATTTTATAGTCAGTATAACTGGTTGATTAATTTGCACTTAACTGTACTTATTGTTACGTCTACTGATTTATTAAAAGCTTCTAGGGCTGGGATTGTGGCTCAGCGGTACAGCGCTTGCCTAGCACGGGCGGGACCGGGTTCGATCCTCAGTACCACATAAAAATAAAGGCATTGTGTTGTGTCCATCTACACCTAAAAAAAAATTAATATTTTTTTTTAAAAAAGCTTCTAGAAGAATCCAGAAACTGCATCAATCAGTTAAAACATGGCTATTTAGTGAACTAAGCAACATTGCTATTTCACAGAAATATCTGCACAAAAAAATGAAATTGTTATTTGGCTCTTGTCTAGACAATGCCAGAAAATCTAGATTTTTAAAAATATAGACAATATAATTTTTTTCTATGTTTTTGTCACTGTTTTAAATTGAGAAATGGCATTTATTTAACTTCATTATTATACACTAATGGGTATTAAAATCAGTAATTCTGAAAAAAAGCTTCTAGAAGTTTCAGATCTATCACTGTGCTAAGGGTTTTCTCACAGCTGCCTCATATTTTCATAATAGTTCTGCAAAGTGCATTTAATTATTCCATTTTGCTTATTAAGAAACAAGGACTCAGAAAAGTTAAACTTCCCACAGCAGTACAGAGCTAGCAAGTTGAAGAACTTAAATTTAAAGGCAGATCTTCTGACTCCAAATCCAAAACTCAGTCTATAAGAAAAAGCTGCCTACTTTAAGCCCATAGAGGTCCATTTAACTTTTTAAAAAAAGTTTTCATTTGTTTGGGAAATATCCCCCTCCTCAAGCCTTACTGTGTTAACAGTTTATCTATCCTATCTTACTAATTCATTCGTCACTTCGTACCATTTAATAATTCCCGAAAAGCCTAATGGTTTTCAATGAATGAATATAACACTTGTGCCTACCAAGAACCTTCTGTCCTTACCCAT